TCGTGTCGTGTCTGCTACTAGCTAAAACAAAATGGTGCTACACCTCCGGCTAAGCTGGCAGTATGGTCTCTCGGCTGTCGACCGGTCGACATGCCGTTCGGCGTTTGTTTTCGCACTGACCTTTCATAGTTCCCCCGAGAAACCCTGAGCCTAGCTGCTGGGAAAGCCCTCCCGCTCCAGCATACGTCACTGCGTGGGATTCCTTCCCCGGGGAGTGCAATGCAGGGAAAAAAAGTCAGCAGCTCTTCACTCGACGTTTATCTACAAACTGGTCCTGGATTAAGCTCCAAAGTTTTTATCAGTCAGATTCCACCATGAAAATTGCCTGTTTTATCCCCTTTTATGAGTTTTTGGCCATTGACTATCTTTAAATGGCTGCTTCCTGGTACAACAGTCGGCTCTGGAAGCGATCGCTTTTTTCTTCTTTTTTTTCCTTTCTTTTTTTGAAGCGAGTGGTTGAAGCAAATGGAGCATAAGAGCCCCCTTGTGGCTCAAGAAAAAAATCCACGTATAAGCCGCACTGGACTATAAGCCACATGGTTCAAAGTTCAGGAAAAAAGTCGCGCTTATAGTCCGAAAAATACAGTAGATTGAATATAAAACCTGTACGAGTAATTTATTCACAAGATGACCGTAACTTTAAAAAGTAGTGAAAAGGCTTTGACTCAGTCAGTCTTACAGATGTGTGGTGTGGTAGTTGCTGAGAGTGATCCCCAACAACACATAGCCTGTTCTGAGACGGATTTCACAAGATCTTTGAAATGTTGCCATTAACCACTTCGATTCAACTCTCTCACGAGCCAGTAGATGGATTTTAATAAAAAAAGTGTAGGAATAAATCATTGAGCGTACCTCTACACCAGGGGTGTCAAATTCATTTTCATTGCAAACAAAACATTTTCTATGTGAACTCAACTGATGAGTTCATTATTTTACATCCTGTGCAATTTGCAACTCGCAAAGCACGAACCATGTACTGGTTTATTCAACACAGGATGTATAAAAACAACAGAAAGCACACCAGTTATTTAAGGCTAACACTTAAAGTTGGTTTAATCTTGAAGAAATATTTAAAAAACAATCTCGCCCACAACCCAGTTACCATCAAAGATAAAATGACCCAGATTACAGAGGGTGAGCACCACTAACAAACACTAACTGCGCTCTACCTGGTATTTCCTGCATAGAAGCAGTGTTTTAACACGTCCTCTTATAAACACTGAAAAGTACTACATGTGCAACTGATTAATGTGAAATAAAACAGAAATTCTATTAAAAGGAAAAGTAAGAGTTTTACTCACCGTTGAGTTGTGGTGAGTCTTGAATTCTGACCTCCCACTTTCTGACAGGGAATTCCCATGTACTGTATAATCAACATACTTTATGGGAAATGTAGTTTATAGTTGATGCTAGCTTTAAAGCAGCTTGTTTTGAGACATTAATACAGAACTATTCAACTAAATTCTCGTGGCCACAGTTACTCAAAGCCAACAGCTCGGGGACAGGATGATATTATTATCCTTCACCTTTTAAATGTGTTTACTCTGTTGCATACAATCATAAATTTAAAGTTTATCATTGATATTAAAATTATCTTTATATCTAGCAAAAAACCTGCTAAAAATATTTGGAAAAACCTGCCCATGATCTAATATGTCTATTATGTCTGCTTTCAAGACGTTCTGGACATAATAAAAGATAGGCCCCCTCACCCAGTATTTTCTGGAGTATTCAGATATTTAATTTTCCCTTTTCTTTCTGAAATAAAATGGTGTTCTGACTTCTGACTCACACTGTATATTATTTCCTTCATTACACATAAAGTTATAAAGTTGTTGTGTTTGCCTGTGTGACACACAGAGCAACAAAGTGTTCCTAACACTTCTTTTTCCTTACTTCCTTTGTTTGGCTACAGAACTACACCAGCTGCAGGTGTATATCAGGGAGTTACGCTCGTCCATCTCCATGTCCAAACAGATGTCCTCATTTGCTCCTCCCTGTCATCCTGGTCATTTCTTTAGCATCACTGGTCGCCTGCTTAACTCACAATCCAATGTACATGATGGTGCTCAGGTATGGGGATAAGACAGTATATTGATTTATGTTTGACATGTTCAAAGTTAGTTCAGACACTAATATGTCATGGTTTATATGACCTTTAGAAATACAGCTATCTGTGTTTTTTTTCTACTCATCTTTACAACCAGTTTTCTTCTGCAGAAATCTGCTGGTTTTTATATTAAATCATTTACGACCAATAATCTGCCTTAGCCAAACTCTGAGTTTAAGTCTGAGTATAAGTCTGTAAAGTTATGTGTAAAAACATATTTTTTTCTTTATTTTCTTTCTTTCTTTCTTTCTTTTTTTGTCTTTTACAGATATGTTTCCCCTGAAGAGAAGTCATTTGCTATAGGAATCCAGTTTTTACTCATGAGAGTTTTAGGTAAGTTTTTACAAAATAAGTAAATAAATAAATAAAATTAAAAAAACTAATATTTTGAATAATTCTGTTGCTTTTAGTAGGTTTGTGGGTGAATAATAGACATGTCTTCAATGTTACCTTGTTAAAGATAAAGTTAAATGATGACGTTAAATACGTCAAATTCATTTTCAAACTACTATATAAAATATTTGCACTCTATGCGTTAAAGTCCCAACCAACACCTTCAGAAGCCACATAACTGGTTACATGAGATCCAGACACACAGTTGTGAAGAAGTACAGATCATGGTTAGGTTGTATCAAACCCTGACAACCGTCAGAGCTCCGTTAGGTCTACTGTTAGAAAATGTAAAGATAATGTCACCACAGCAAACCTGAAAGTCGTCAAATAAAACTCACACACTGAGGAATAGATGTGAGGATCTGTCCTCAGGACCACTAAAAGTTGCACAGACCATAACTTGTGGATACTTTATGATGGGGAAAATAAAACAAAAACAAAGAAAAAGAAGAAAAATTCAGCAGATCTTGTTGAATTTGGCAAAAGTTATCTTGGAGACTCAAAAAAAAAAAACCTGTGGAAGAGCTAAAAGTTATCTTTTTGGACATGAAGGACAACACTGGATARGATTAATCAGTATTTTTACAAACTCATACAAAAGGCCTCAATACCTGAAACAAAACCAATACCTGTATAAATACTGACATACTGGTATCAGTACTGCATTGAATGTGTTACAGTTTACGTTTGTCAGTTTAACAAATTTATACAAGTAGAAAGAAAAATTTGTTTATTTTAATTTATTTTAAAATGTTTCCACAGTATTTATCATGCTGTGTTTGATTTGATCCAGTCAGAGGAGCCGTGGGTCTATAAGGAAGGAGAGACACCTTGTTCTAAATAAAATAAATGTGATTTAAAGTTATTGTGGGATGTTTAAGTTCTAACTCACTAAGTACCCTGAATCGATACTTTGTTTGAGAAAAACTGATCAGGACACCCTTGTATAAAATGTAAAGAGTTTCTTGAGATAAACATGTTTGATTCTTTAAGAAACGAAGAGTKTAAAGATGGGAGTAAATATTCTTTACACTGATATAACCTCATGATGAAAATACATAACGTATATACAATTACACTTTACCATATTKTAATGTGTCAGTATACAACAAAAATACTCCAGAGCCAGTGGTGCACTCTTTAACCTTTTATTAACAGAATCGCTTAAATAAATTTAAAAAAAAATGACAGTTAACAAGAGTCTAACAGCTACCTGCACACTTAGCTCCTCCAATCTTTGGGAAGCAGAACATTAACCCTTTAGGGCAGATATTACAATATCAATATACAAATATACAAAATCATAATGATTTATATACAACTTATTTAGCTCGTTATTTAGGGCTGCCATGATTATGTCAACTATTAAAATCGTAATGATTTATACACAACTTAATAATTTATTTAGAGCTGCCATGATTATGTCAACTATTAAAACATCAACGACTGATTTAATAGTCGATGCTTCATTTTTTTTCTAACTGTATTTTTTTTATAGTCGACTAATCACCGATTATTATTGTTTGTGGCAGCCCTACTTACCACAACTGCACATGTGTGTCAAGGACAGAAAGGTAGACGTGGCAGTGGAAGGTGCCGCAGCAGTTTGGAGAGAAAAACAAAGTTAGAAAAGAAACGACACATCACCTATTAAATTAGTCGATAGTAATTATGACTAATTGACTAATCGTGGCAGCCCTAAACTTATTAGACTTATTATATGTGGAAATAAAATGTGGTCTAGTAAAAGTGTTTTTTATGCAAATAAGGAAAAAAATGTTTGCAGCATGAAGTTCTAGTACAAAATAAACATTAAATTAATTGAACTACACTTATACGGTAAATGTGTGATTAAATTGTGTGTTTAATTGGATTTTGCACAGTTTATGTTTCCATACAGTCTGTCTGTCCTGAAGCAGCAGCACACCTGGGATTTATTGTTTGTGTGGAACTGAAGCCAGCTTTAGWTCTTCCCTCAGCTCATCTCTACCAAACAGACTGAATGTGAGCTCACAGCGGACATGTTTTCTCTCCCCTCAGCGTGGCTCCCGTCTCCGGCTCTCTTTGGCATGGCCATCGACTCTTCCTGTATCTGGTGGAAGCACGTGTGTGGAAAGAAGTTTAGCTGTGGTTACTATGATAACAACCTGTTTCGAAGCCGGTAGGAACACCTGTCACTCTAAAGACGTGTCACGTAGGAACACACATATTTTAAATGGTTTGCCTCCTCCCTGCAGGTACTTGGGTTTACAGGTGGGKTATAAGGTGATGGGCATCTGGCTGCTGATGATGCTGGCGTGGAAGGAGAAGAATATTAAGGAGTACACTCTGGACAAGAGGCAAGCACTGCTGTGATCAGTGCTGAGACTCTGCTGCCTCTCATAGCTCTGCTGGGAGACTAAATATTTTGGAAGAAGAGTGTTCCTGGGGAAACGCTGCGTCACTGAGGGGAATCCAAAATAAAGATGCCTCCACAGTCACCTCAATTCCTGCAGGCCCAGTCTCACCACCTGGACACTGGTGCAAGAATATCTCCCAAAAGGAACCTTTTCTGTTTTGGGGCCTGTTTTTGTTTTTTAATTGGAATAACTGAAAACACTACTTTCACATAGGATGGTGCACTCAAAGACAAGTTCACAGACAAATACTACGTTCAGATAGTTCAGCAGTTGTGTGAGCAGAAACAAAATAAGCACATTTCTAGTTTTTCCAGCTACTAATGTGAAAACAGGAGCTGCGTTCACCACAATGGGCCTCATGTAAGAACATATTCGTATTCTTATCCTAAATTTCTCCTACTTTTGTTCGTACGGACATGCCACATCAGATTAAACAAGCTCTCCTATCTTCAGGAAAAGTGTGTAAATGAACAGCGTAAACTTATGAATACGTATCAGGAGGAGAGGAGATTAGCATAATTACCACCCTAAAAACACCATATAAGGCTACGTTTCCTGCCCCACATACCAGGAAGTGTTCATTCATAAATGACATTGCAAAGTAAAATAGAACTTTACAAGTTCAGAGATTGAAGTCCTGCTCTCCGAGATCCAGAAAAGAAAATCTGTCATTTTTAGCAGCGTCAGCTGTGGAATTAAAGGAGTTAAAGGACGACTGCTGTTAATGTCATGTCTCCCGTGTGTCATATACAGACACAGAAATAAAAATCTAAATCGTATTCATCTCTCTCTAGTCCTGCTCTGGCTTTTCTTTGGTCAAATATTTTTAATTCAAGTGTAAACAACTGTGTTACAATTTTCATTTATTCAGAAGARCAGATGCACACCGCTACACCCCCAGCCGTCGCAAGTGTCAGATGTGTTTCTAAATAAAAACATTTTAAAACGTCTCCAAACTTCAATTAATGCATAATTTAAGTTGGTTTGTAGTTTGAGATCTTCGTATTAAAATTGTAGTGTTATACAGCAGCGTTAAAGCCACTTTACTTTAATTTAACCAGTTTATGTCGTTAGTCTACATCATTACATTTAAAATTATACTTCAAGCAGAACAACCTATTTTCAACATAATTATGGAGTGTGATTTATTTTCAACTCAAAAGATCTTCAAACTAATGAAATATAAAGTTATTAGAGAAGAAAATCCACCTGGATAGCAGCAGACTGGCTGCTCGTAAAATATAT